CACACACACACACACACACACACACACACACACACACACACACACACACTTGCATATGAAATCCTGAATATAATGTATTAGAACAGGTAGAACAGACTGGATAAAGTTCCGGTCATTTCCAACAATATGCTATCTTAGCATAGGAGCCAAAAGAAGACATCAACGATGCATAAATTACAAATTTTTCCTGATTGACAGCATTTCTAACCAAGTTGTGAAACACATTGTAAACCCATGATATCTCTGCGCATCCTACTCTGCAAAAAATATTAATCAGATTCTTAACCACAGGAAACAACACAGGAATCCCATTAACTGTCCCACCCACTGCCACCATAATTGAGATAAGTTGCTGAATTGGCTTCCTGTGGTTACATATAATTGTAATCATTCAGTCTGTTGAGGCAGTGTTACAAAGCTGGGCTATCACAAATTGTCCAGAAACACACTTGTTACAAAGATGAGCCGTTCGAACTTGTCCAGAAACACACTTGTTACAAAGATGAGATGTCCCAACTTGTCCAGAAACACACTTGTTACAAAGATGGCCTGTCCCAACTTGTCCAGAAACACACTTGTTACAAAGATGAACTGTCCCAACTTGTCCAGAAACACGCCCAGATGCCTACCTTTTCTCCTGTCATCTTAGTGGTCTTGTCAAAGCGTTTTTGCGTGAATACAATAGTAAACACTGCATGGGACCGACTGCTTGTTTCATTCATGTTAGTGGCAGCAACGGTTCTATAAAAAAACCCAATAAAAAGAGTTTTAGAGTAAATCTTTACTTAATATTTATGAATTTTCAAAAGCAATTCTGCATGAGCAGAACATGTAACCTGCTACCTGTTTCTTTCGTGTTAGCAGTTGAGCAAGTTCTGAAGTAAAATAAAAATTCAGTTGGACTAGGAATATCTTGGGGTCTAATTTACCATCAGCTTTTTCACCTCACCTCTTACTGCTCCTTAGTAAACACTTTGAGGCTCACAAATAACTACAAAACGATTCAACCTGTGTCATTTTATCAAAAAAAAAATCTTTGCAATAAGGAAAGGTAGGTGGAAGCAGGAGGGAAATAAAACTGCCATTTCCCATTGTGCATACCAGTAATCTATAATAATAATAAGAAGAAGAAGAAGAAGAAGAAGAAGAAGAAGTTTTATTTACCTGGCTTTGTTGCCTTCATCCATCAGGTCATTGATATCCTTGTAGGAGGTGACGGCCAGCTTGGACAGATCCTCCACGTATGGGCCGAGGAGAGGGTGTTCACGCACGCGCAGGTGGTTCTTGTTCTTAGGATTGAGCAAATCTCGCACGCGCTCACAGTATATCTCCATGTAGCTCACCTACGATACAGGACACAGACTAATAAAATATATCTTTTCATTTGTCTAGGGCTAACTTCCCAAACCTAGATCAATCTAATGGGATCCATCCACCTCCAAGGGGTTTCTCACTAAACTGCTTTCAGCTTAAGCAGCTAAAATGTCTGGCATGCCTACTGAAGCTGCTAAATGATAATTAATTAACCCCTAGCAGCTTCAGAAGCGTGACAGACACCTAAGCTGCTTAAGTTGATTGCAATTAAGCAAGAATCCTCTCAGAGATAGATTGATCCACAGTAAATATTATTGGGTCTGGGAATGGTCCCCTATTTTGAAAATAAAATTATCAATATCAATTATCAATTATCAATTATCAAATCTTAAAATATTTAAGCACAGGCTTCAAACATCTGTACATGTGCAATTCCTTCTCCTTGGTTATTGAAAGAAATACAAGTATGTTAATAAATGGTTGAAGGCCATTAGCAGCATATCCTTCTTAAGACACTACCTGCATCTTATTTCCCTAAAACACCTGCTGGATCAGGGACCCCATGGCAATAAAATGTCCAACCCTTACCTCTACTGAGTATTTAAGGTCTTCATCCCGAGACATGTTATTCACCATTCTCCTGAATAAATCTTCACACAGCTGGCGACATTAAAATATGGAAAAAAAATGATAATAATAATAACAGTAACAACTTATACAATCAACAAGTCAGACATCAAATCACATATTATTATTATTATTACATATAAACAGAAAATGAAATGTACATTTGGACTCTTCATCCAACATCAAATAATAACTCATACATCAGTAGGGACAGAAAATGACAGCCTAACACTCCTTGTGATAAAATATATTAGAAAAAATGTTGACACTATAACTTCTTGAAGTTACCTGTGGGATGATGCCAGCTTCCCCAGTCTCGTTCCTCCCCATCATGGTGTAGCTTTTCCCTGACCCTGTCTGACCATACGCAAATATGCAGACATTGTACCCTTCAAAGGCGTGGTCCAGCATCTCGATGCCGATGTCATCATAAACACGCTTCTGGGAGGCAAAGTTGGGGTCGTCAGGCTGCAAAGAATGATTATTTTGGTAATTCCTTCTCTATGGCAATTCTGTGAATCATTCAAACTAAAAGAACTTTTTTTTTTCTGGCCTTCACTCAATGGTCTGATTATTAACATGTTCATTGACTCCACATACATCAAGATGTATTAAATTCAATTAAAAACTAATTCACTTATTATTCATATATCCCGAAACATTGTTTTGTTAGTAGAGCTTGAAAAAATAAACTTGTAAATGTGTAAAAATCTAGCTTGAAAGAAAGCAGACCAAGGCTGTATTTTATAAATCCTGAAATTTATAAATCAGTAGAAATTAGAAAATAGTGATATTTTCAAGTTATTATCAGTACTTATATATATATATATACTTTGTATACTTCCCTACTTTTTTTGCCATTTCAGCCACTAATTCACCCACTCAAAACATGCCATTAATCTGTATATGCCTTTGTAAATAAAAGAGATTAAAATCAAACATTATGTCAATCCAGACCAATTTATTTCCATAACAGCATTCCTCTCTAAATTCCTAAAAAATCAATATTAAGCTTATGGCTGACTGTGGCGTCACCGAGCAACATTCTCCTCTGGAAAAAGCAATATTTTTAGAAAAGTTCACGTTCACTGGTTGATATATAAGAGCAAGAATCCTCATCTCTTAGACTAAGTTCCCATACCTAGATCAATCTAACAGTTTCGATCCACCTCCAAGGGGTTTCTCGCTAAGTATATTGCTTTCAGCTTAAGCGGCTTAATGTCTGGTACGCCTACTGAAGCTGCCAAACAATAATTGATTACCCCCTAGCAGCTTCAGCAGGTATGACAGAACACTAAGCCACTTAAGTTGATTGCAATTTAGTGAGAATCCATTTGGGGATAGATCAATCCACAGTTAGTATGGCAGGGTCTGGGATTGGTCCTTAAGCTGGCAAATTTAGACAGTCTTCAATGCCATCTACTCTGCCCATTAAAGGTGTCATGTTTTCATAGGCTTTGTATTGATTGTATGTTTGTTGGACAACATGCTTATTTGCTCATTTATGGACACAATAACTCAAAAAGTTCCTCAAAAATTTCAAGAAGAGGCTGATGGCACCTACAAGAATGCAATCTTATGTAAATCTTATATAACAGCACAGGAAGTCTGTGTTTATTCTTTAGACTTTCATTAATATTAATAAATCTGGTACTCTATTCCTGATTTTGTTCTACAAATTATTCAAGCAGAATACATACAAGATGTCATTGCAAAGGTTTCCCCGGACAATGACAGAGTTATCTACGCCAGGCAGGCAATACAATACTGTTTGTACGCAGTAATCAGACATGTAGTACACATGTACGCATTTGAAATTATCTCAAAACTTTTCAACTTCTATCACACTTTTAGGTGTTTTTATTTATTTATTTATTTTTTATTTTCATGTACCGTATCTTAACATGGTTTATTTACAATCTTTGATATCATGCAAAGGCAGGCTGTAGAGCTTGTTTACTATATAATGCCAAATGTCTCAGAAAGATAACAATTCTTTATTATCAACTTTCACCATCACAAGTAGAAAAACACATCAACTTCTTTTCTTAAATGTGACAAACATAAAACCTCTCACTCTTCCTCTGAACCTTCCCTCTGCTATGACACATGTATTTCAAAGATTTTGTCCTCAAAATAAAATATTATTTTTCTTCAGAGCTATCAATTACAGTAGCATGCCAAGAAATCTGAGGCTCTGAGTTCTCCAACAACAACCTGAGGTTACACACAACAAACCAAAGAACAAAAACACCATTATCCGGATCATGCAATCCTCACACCTTCACTTTATTGATTGGGGAATCAGGCGTCATATCCGCAGAGATAATTATAGGATAGGCAGACAGCAAGAAGGTGAATTCAGCCCCAAATATGGCCTTAAAGAAGAGAAAAGAGATAATTATAGGATAGGCAGATAGCAAGAAGGTGAATTCAGCCCCAAATATGGCCTTAAAGAAGAGAAAAGAAACACTGGGACAAAGTAAACCCCCCCCCACCCCCTCAAAAAAAAAACAATCATAAACATATAGTATCATTTTCAAAATATTTTTTGGGATGAAAGTGTCCAGTAGACAACCCCCTTACTGCTACTACTATTAGATCTACCCCCCTCCCACTGCTCTTTTTTTTTTTTTTTTTTCTTTT